TTGCTCAAAGGGCCTTTGTCCAAGGTCATAACATGAATGAAAATATTTTTCTCCTCCAAAAGCTCCTAAAACACTATTTTCGAAAGAGGAGCTCCCATCGTGCATGATTAAGCTTGATCTCTCCAAATCTTGGACTCTATCTCATGGAGCTTCCTTCACAAGCTACTAATTCTCCTCAATTTCCCGAGGAAATTAGTTGATTTATTTATGGAATGTGTTTCATTGGTTTTTTTCTCATTGGCTATTAATGGAACTTCTTTTGGGCTTTTTCAAGGTAAAAAAGGCTTGTGTCAAGGGGATTCTCTTTCCCCTATCTATTCATCATTTTTATGGAGTACTTTTTGCGTCTCTTAAAGAAGAAAAGCTCTGAAAAAAACTGAATTTTCATCCGGGCTGCACTGAGTTAAGGATTACTCACCTTGCTTTTCCGATGACATTATCCCTCTCGAGAAAGGTGACATTTATTAAGTGGGCATTCTCTTGGACAACATTGAGCATTTTTGGCGAGTCTCGGATCTTGAAATCAACCGCTCTAAATCAAACAACTTTATTGTGAATGCATCAAATAAGGATTCGAACAGTCTCAAAAGCCTCTCGGGTTTTCCCCGAGGTTCTCTACCTTTTAAGTACCTTCGCGTCCCTGCTTTTCCAAGAAAATCCAAGGTGGATTCTTCAACAGGCTTATTTCTTCCATTTCAGAGCTTATTCGGAAGTGGAGTGGCTGTAACTTTTCCTATGCGGGGAGACTTGAATTGATCCATGCAGATACAAGGAATACGCCGTTTTTTGTTATCCATTTTTTCGATGCTCCCGAAAATTTTGAATCACATCACAAAGCTTTGTCGAATCTTTCTTTGGCAAAATCAATCAGTCCCTATTGCTTGGTCAAAAATCTGTTAGCCAAAGGATGAGTGCGGCTTGGGACTGCGCTCGCTCCCGGAGTGGAACTTGGCTTTCCTCGCTAAATTTATTTGGATCCTTAGCTCCGATAAAGAATCTCTTTGAGTGAAATGGATTCATAACAAGGACTGCCCGAAAAGCCTTCATTCTCCTCCCAAGTTGGAAGAACATTTGCACCTGGATCCGAGTGGTTTCCTCTTTATATTCACGGGACTCGGCTGTTTCTTGGATCCGAAACTCTAGAGATAGGGATCCTTCCTCCAGAACCTCCAGCGTTTGGGATTTTTGGCTATTATATATTACATATAGACGGCTCAGAATAAGGGAGTCATGGAATATTTCTTGCTGGACCCGGGGATTTCTATCTACAACATCAAGACATGATACTACCGTGTCTTATTTTCAGTTAGCCTCTAGAATAGCAGAAAGCCTAGCTAGTGGATCTTTTCTAAATTTGTGATACAAGCAACTGGATTTGTTTTGTGGGGCATCCTCTATTCGAAGAACATTTTCAACCAACATATTTTAAATTTGTTTTGTGATGTATGAACGCTTGGAACTTTTGAATAGAAATCTATTGTTTTATTTATTTATTCCTTATCAACTATATGTTGATGTATCAATCCCAGTTTTTTCCTCGGTGGCCTGCCACTGATTGTTTATTCCTTGTTTCTCCGGTTATGCCCGACATATTATATATTTATTCTAATCACATTTAATATATATATATATATAACTCTTGATCTTTCCGATAAAAAAATAGTTACACTATCTTTACCATAATTAGTAGAAGATTTGATATCAGAAAAAGATTCGGAAATTACATTCAAAAGCACGATAGGGTTGTATTCATCAATGTTCTTATCTCTTGTTTGTTTAATATCTTGAACAAGCTTAGTAAAAACATCAACATTTTCATCTATTGATTTAGTTAAATCAAGTTTAAATCTGAAGAACTTTTCAAGCAGAAACAATTTATTCGGCAAAGACCTTTTCATATAGATGTTTTCTAATTTTTCTCAAAGTTTTTTTGCAAAATATGTTTTCCTACTTATCTAATCACAAAGTCAAATAAATTCAATATTATCAAAGATTATGCATGTTCATCTAACTAAACTTTTTTATCTACAGTCAATAAACGATTAAAATAACTATCAATAGCTTTGACAACTTTTTGTGTTACTATGATGATATTTTTCATCTTTTGTTACCAAATTGAAAAATCAATTTTTCCGTCAAAAGGAACAATAGACACATATGTCATAATGCCAAATATCAACACAAAAGTTACACAATTGCCACACAAGAATGTCACACAATTCACTAACTATTAGTGGTCAACTACTAACTCGCTCTTAAAGCAGCCAATTACGTGATAGTGTATAAAGCAATCACAGAAATTGGAAATCAAGATTCACATAATCTAATCTTATCTTACCGTATAACTAATTAACAAATAAAAGTAAGAGCCTTCCGTTACCAAATCCAGGGCAAAACTTGGAACTCTGATTTTCAAACCTGTGTGCACAACCCGTATCCACCAACCTCGCTCTGATACCACTGTTGGATTGAGTCAACTCAACACTAGTATAATATTGTGTGTTTTGGATTGAGTTCGAATGGATTTGTTTTTAGACTTTCTTCAAACGACCTCATACTAGTGGAGTTTATGTGAGACTTACAAGGTATAGATTTTTCTTCAAAATCTTTTAATGTGGGAATTGGGTTTACACCCGAACAAGAGTGATGAACATGTTGACATCATTGCCTTTATAGTGCAACTTACCGCTTAGTTATTGCACACAAAATATATAGAAAACACATAGAAAACATATATGCAAACAGAATAGGGAACACCAAGTTTTAGCACATCAATTTATTTCAAAGTTAACACAAAACCAAACAATTAAACTTTAGCATAATCAAACCTAACAATGGAAAGTGAAATTTTCATCCATCAATATGCATATACTCAGAAAGTATTAAAACGATTTACAATAAATATAACACATTCATTAAGTACTCCAATAATTATTAGAACTCTTGATCCTATTTAAAACTCTTTTAGTCCAAAAGAAAATGGAAAAACACTTAGTCCTAAAGTACCATATTTAAATACTATTGGTGCACTAATGTATTTGGACAAGGCTAGATATAACATTTGCTACAAATTTATTAGCAAGATTTATTGCAATGCCAACACAACGACATTGGAAGGGTTTTAAACATTTTTTTTTTGTTATCACCAAAGAACTATTGATCTCGGCCTATTATATGTAAAGGGATCTCGACGTGAATGATTGAATATGCAAACACTGGGTATCATTCTGACTCGCACAAAGTCAAATCTCAAACTGCCTATATATTTACTTAAAACGGTACTGTGGTATCCTGAAGATAATCTTCAAATCACGTTGAAATAATAGCAATTCATGAGGCTAGTCGAGAATGTGTCTGGTTGAAATCAATGACTTACCACATTTTAAAGAATTATGGTTTGAGATCTGAAAATGATAACCCTCATACTATTTTATACGAAAATAATGCAATTTATATAGTTCAACTAAAATAAAGATATATTAAAGGAGATATGACGAAATATATTTCACCGAAATTTTTCTTTACACACGATCTTCAGAAAAATAGTGATATAGATGTGCAGCAGATTCGATCACATGACAATTTAGCAAATTTATTGATCAAGGCTTTACCGACTGAAACGTCAAGAAATTGGTGAAAAACATTGAGATGCGTCGGTTGCAATATTTCAAGTAATGTCCACTTCAGGGGACTAATTTTGAAAACATGAATTACATATTCTTTTTCATTCATTATAATTTTTATTTCATTGGATTTTTTTTCATAATAAGGTTTTAACAAGGCATATTCATTATAAAAATCAGTATGTGTCAATTAATTTACATGCAGGTTGACATATGTTATTAATTTGTGATTTCATATCATGGCAACGAATGTATCTATCATATCATGGCAACGAATGTATCTTGATAACTAATCACCTTCATTAAAGCCTATAAATAGGCTTTGGCATGATATCAAAATAAACACAACAAAATTCTCACTTACTTCCATCATTTATCAATCTCTAATTTTCTCTAAAATATTTAAGATATATTTACGATGTTTTGTGAAATGAACTTGAGGTCGAACTCTTGACCCAAAAGTAAGAGCTTTGCCATTAAACTATACCTTCATTTCCAAAAAAACTAATTTAATTTATAATTATTTTTATTAATATATATATATTTAATTACAATGAAAATGACGCTAAACTCCATTCCCTCTCTCAGTTGCAAAACGGCCCAAAATTTTTCTCCCTTTCCTTAATTGACAGTTGCTCTACAAATTTTTTTTTTTATTATTTTTAATAAAATACATACAATAGAGAATAAAACTTATAATATAAATTTATATTCAAATTATATTTTTATTAATTTTAAAAATTTAAATTTAATACATATCCATATTATTATTATATATTACTCATAAATCAATACATATTAAAACTTTTAAAATAAAAAAAAAAACATAAAAATTTAAATTTATCTCAAAATTCAAATCAAAATCCAAACTTAAATTTTTTCAAACCATCCCAAAGAAATACATCAATAGTGTCACTGGGTGTGTTTGTTCGGAGGATTGAGAAAGATTTATATTATTCATACAAAATTTTTTCTCTAAAAATATCATATCAAATATTTATTTTTTATTTTATATATTATACTAAGCAATTTTATATTCAAAATATCACATCAATATCTATTTATATCACATAATACAACTGTTCAAAATTTTTACTATTCAAATTTAAAAAAATTCCAACCCCAAAATTCCAACCCCAAACAAACACATATTAAAAGAGTAAACTATATAAAAAAAAAAACCCAATATACACCCCGAAAAATATTGCAAAGATGATTTTTAATCCCCATTCCACTATTTTGCACTGACACACATATATAAACATAGTATAACATAGATGTATCTAATATAGATATATACGTAACCGTACGCTAATGAAATCCCGTTTAGATAGATACATACATACATACATACATACCCGTGCTGACTGAAATCACAGTGTATTAATTTATTCGAAGAATCCCAGAAGGCCTTCCTACCTACTTCTTACGCGACACCCTTCGCATTGCCAACACTCCCACCTCTCCAGTAAACTTTTCTCTAGCCATGGTTAATGTAAGCGACGCCGCCTCATCTTCCCACCGGACTCAGTCTCCGGACAATGGCGATGAAGAACTTCCGGTTTCCGCGACTCCAGAGAAGGATCCCAGAAGAATCGCCCGGAAGTACGCATGTTTTGTTTTGTTTTGATATTTTGGTGTTTGTTGTTTCATCATACTAAACTCCGGGGGCTTTTGATTTTCCTGAGCCCAGTGACCGATCATGTTCTCTTTGGAAAAAGTTTGTAATATTTGAAAAATTCTTGCGAGTGAATTTAGGGAAGGTAGAAAGATGGCCAAAATGGTGAAAAGAGGTGACAAGGTAAACGGGTTTCCCGCATGCCAAAGTCCTGTGTAATCGGTGAAGTATCTCTGCTTCAATTTGGCTGGCTGGGCCCAATTTGAGTGGTCGAAAACTAGGGCTCTGGTTCTTGATTCACCTGAAGTTTGATAAGTGAACAGATAGTGACCTTTAAAGTGGAGCATTTTAAGTTTGAGCTTCCGAATGGTTCCGATCAAGTTAGTTTAGTACCTCGAAAGCCCTAGAGAAGTTAAGTGTTTGTTAAAGATTCAAGTCATTACTTAGCTCATTTCTGATCTTGTGTATGTGATGAAATGTAGCTTGATGCAGTGAAAACAAACACTGAAATACAGAGTATATAATGCTATTCAACCTAGGGAGAAATGGTTGAATAACTTAAGTATATAATGTTATGTTCTATGATTAACATTGTATGAATTACTACTGTGGTTAAGATTGAGTTTAATAGTGGACAAACTTGACTCTCGAGTAACCCTGATAAAATTAATGTCCTCACACACAATACAATTGAAATTTGAGGTTTTTCTGTATGAATGGGCTTTTGGTATCAATAACCATGCAGATAATAAGGGTGGGGCAGGGGGAGCATTAAGTAATATAAAATAATGTAAATAGCTGCCTCTACTGGGCTGCAATGGTTCAATTTTTCCAATTTTGTCATTTCATATTACTCTATATAGCAACAACACATGGCAAAGTTTTAAATTCTTGTGTGGATATGCCCCTGTTCATTGTAGATTCTCCCATTATTTGGGTTTATAAGGGAATAGAGGAGTCACTTAATGTTGGTAAATTGTGCTAAGAAGTTTCATGTGTGTGTGGATCGTAAAATTGTGCTGAAATGGATATTTCTAGGAATTGTCCAAGCGGTAGGTAAATGTAAAGTTTGAAATGTGTATACAGTTTGATCTTTTCTATATCCGTCCTTTATTTAATATGCTGAAGTGTAAATATTTATGCTTATTATCTATTTCCTTATATGCAACATGGAAAGCATTCAAGTGATTGAGTGTTTAAGTAGCTTGCAAGTATGGCTTAAGAGTCTAAGCTCTAGCCTTATGTAGAAAAGATCTTTCTGTGATCTTTATTGCTACATTACTCTCTTTTTTAAGCTTATTGGCAATGTGCATTGCCTCATTCTTGTTTCTGGTCAACATAAGAATCTTAGTGAGCTATCCATAGGTTTTGAAGGTAATATCTCAAAACTTTATGACATACTTTCTTCTACTCTGCATATGCAAAACTTGAACTTTTGTTTGAAATTGGGTTTGCATCTTGGAATGAAATTTGAGAAAAGATAGATTGCATATTTGTTTTTATCTTTTAATGAATAAGCCTAACAAATATTTACACTGAAATTTAATCTGAGTTCCACCTCTTTGAATTGGTTTCATGAGTTCTTTTACCACTAAAAACAATTTATGATATCATCTTTAGGTTCAAACATGCAGATGTGTTTTGTTTTTTTAAACAAAAAACACTATTCAACCCGCATGGTTCCCAATAAAAATAAACTATTTTATCACACAAAACATCACATCAAAATAATATTAACCAAAACTCAAATCAAACCCTATTTCAAACCACAACCAAACAAACCCGCTATATTCCTGGATTTATTTTATTACTAAAATTGATTTTAATATCATAAATATAATTTACAATTATGTAATTATGAGAGGGACGGAATAGTGATGTACATTTTTGGTATGCACATAATTATTCTTAGTAGTTTTATTATTATTATTGTTGTTGTTGTTGTATTTATTTATTTGTTTTGTCTGTTTGTTTTTTGGCTTTTGAAAGTAATATTTTTATATTCAGGCTCATGAAAGCTCCCTTGTATATAGCTTGCCCCTTTGTTTATGCCTTACTTTGTATCCTTTTAAGCGCCTTTTAATTAAACTAGTATTTACCCTTCAAAAACCAAGTCCACTAAATACTGCCCTATTTGAGGTCATTCGAATTAGTAGATGTGAAAATTGTTCCCATTGCATATAATAGGGTGACTAGTTGTTAAAGTTTTTCTTAAATCTATTTATGTCTCATTGGGAATATTGTAATAACAATATGTAGATGAATTTGCTTCAAGAGTTTCATATTATAGAGTGCCTAATGATTAGTTGCTCATTTTCTTAGCTTGAAACATGCTAAAGTTATTTATCTGCATTAATTTGATTTTCCTTTAACCTTTTTTCTTGCAATATTTTAGGCTGTATGCCTGCACAACTATGACTAAATAAGTGGAAGGAGAAAACTCATTTTTGCTAGCACATTTTGGAAGCCTTATATCATCTCAACATAGTTTACTATACCACATTTCTATGAATTTGGATACATCCTTCCGCAAGAGCTTGCAATGATATAGAGGTTTGGAACTTGGAATTTACCATTGGGTATCTGATTGACCTTTTCGCTTCAAGCAGGTACCAGATAGATCTTTGTCAGAAGGCATTAAAGGAGAATGTTGTTGTCTATTTGGAAACTGGTTGTGGAAAAACCCATATTGCCATTCTACTTATTTATGAGATGGGACACCGAATTAAGAAGCCTCAGAAAAACATATGCATTTTTCTGGCTCCCACCGTTGCCTTAGTTCAACAGGTTCTCCTTTTTATATTCTTGTGTTTTGGCTTTCTTCTTCTATGTTTTCTGAGATTGTGGATAATAATCTATACTATATTGCGGGGTTAACAATATCACAGTGGTATATTTTATTTATAATAAGCGGTAACACTCTGAAATATAAGAAAAAATTGTAGAACTGATAAACTAAAATCATTTATTGGCCGCATAGTATTTATTATTGTTTAATCATCCGAATCATTCAAAGCAGAAAAAGATAGGACACATAGATGGTTTTTTAAGTAAAGAATAAGTCTAGTTAGAATGGTATGAAATTTATAATCATTAAGGCTTTGTTTTGGTTTTGATGTTTTTGAGGTGAAATAGTTGTTGGATGTGATGTAATGGTTTTGGAGGAAAATTAAGAGATTTAATAATAACAAAGTAAACAAATGGTGATTTTCATGATATTTTAATTGGCATTTAGCTTGAGTATAATGAGGGTTTTTGTTTGGTTTATGAACTGTTTTATTATGCTGTTCACTTGGCTATTTTATATCTTTAATTTGTATTTCTTGCCTCCCACCCATCATGAAGCTCAACACTGTTTACAATTTTGATTGGTCGAAAATTGTTTAATAGTCTCTCTCCTTGAAAGGGGCTAATAAACAATTCACATTTACTTTTAGATTCTGCCTAGCTCCTTGAGGCTCCTTCCCCCTAACGTTGTACTCCAATGTTCATCTTAATATAATTAAATTCTCAAAAAATAGATAAATAGATAAAAACAAAAACTAATCATAAAATTGTCAGATTGGATGGTGGTAGGGATGTTCTGAAAAAACTCAGTGACATTTTCTTTTCTTTTTTCTTTTTTCTTTTTTTTTTTCTGTTCTGTTTTTAATTTTTATTTATTTATTTTAAGTTAGTTTGCTGGTGTTTTTGTATTTAATCTGTAATTTCTCTTTGGATATTTTAAGATAAATATAGTTGTTTAATACTCCCTCCGTCCCACTCCAAAGGGGCCCTTTGGGATTTTGTGGCAGATTAAGAAATAATAGTATTTTATTGGTTAGTGGAAGTATGTAAGAGGTTTTGATATTTTTGCCCTTTGACGTTATGTATAAAGTAATTGTATGTGTAATGGTATATTTGTAATTTAGGTAAAAGTTAAGGATATTTTAGTATTAGTGTATGATTACTTTTACTAAAATAGAAAAGGAATATTTTGAAGTGGGACAAACGAAAATGGTAAAAATGGTACTTTGAGTTAGGAGGGAGGGAATATGATGTTTTGAATCGAAAATGAGTCATGGGCGTAATTGTTTTGGAAGGAAAAATTGTAGATTGAATAGTATAAAATTGGGGAAAAAACACTAATATAAACAATTTTTTTAAGGATTTAGATAGGTCCTAACAGCGAATACAAATCTGATACCTAAGGTGATCTATACCTTTGTTCTAACAGATAACTTTATGAGATATTAATAAATGAAGAATCCTAATCTGATACCTAAGGCGATGCTCTGACCTATGTAATCATTGAGTATGGCATGAGATTATAAGGTGCGCTGTTCCAGTCATCCTATTTTACTAAATTGCAGAAACAGTAGAATAATAAAATATAATTTCTTTAAAGTATGATCAGAATTGAGCTATTCATGGGAAACAATGCGACATTAAGTGATAAATCAAACAAAGGGACTGAAGCCTTTTCATTGTTGAAATTCATACCATTTAGTCATTTTTCAATATTATGAAAAAACTTTGACAGTGGGTGTACACATCAATGCCATTTCCATGGCCAGCTCTTGCGCACATTTATGAATTCAATTGTGGTTATATTTTAAATCTAAATGATTCCTGCCTGGGAAATGTCTAGTGTTTTAACTGATCTTGGTCAGTGAAGATGTTACACACATGCACATATGTAAAATATATATATTCTTGAAAGCATCTGATTATCTCTGTTGTAACATTTTTAAATATTCTTTGTTTTTTCTCGTTTTTGAATGGAAGCAAGCCAAAGTCATAGAAGGTTCTACAGATTTCAAAGTTGGGACCTGTTGTGGAAATTCACCACACTTAAAGACCCGGTATGACTGGGAAAAGGAAATTGAAGAATTTGAGGTTTGTTGCATTCATTTCAGAAAGATGTTGAGTATTTATTTTGTGGTAAAATTTGTGATAGTTATATGTTCTTTTATTTTAAGCTTTGCCAAAGGGAATTCTTCCCTGGTTTTGCAAGTGGCTGTTGCTAACTTTTATGCTATAACATTTCCTTGGACATGCTAATAGATTTGGTACAATGTTAGAGTAGGGGTTTGATTGGGGATGCAATGTTTGTTTGCAGGCCTTTGAAATAAGTTGAATTTCCTTTGTACCTTGTATAAACTCACAATTATCATTACGGGCTAGTTCACCTTTATTAACTCTCCATGGGCAGGTCCTTGTAATGACACCTCAGATATTGCTTCATTGTCTTTCACATTGCTTTATTAAGATTGAGTTGGTTGCACTTCTGATATTTGATGAGTGCCATTATGCCCAACTTGAAAGCAACCATCCTTATGCTGAAATCATGAAGGTAGTATATATTGAAAAATTCTTTTATGCCAGCATGCAGTTTATCAGTTTCTCAATTCAGTTGGATCTGCCTTATTGAGATATGGATTTTTATGGAACTACTATAGATCTTCTACACAATGGAGGCTGCTCAACTTCCTCGTATTTTTGGCATGACTGCATCTCCGAAGCTTGGCAAAGGTAATTTAGGATGTGTTTACAGGGCTTGTATAGCATTTTTAGCATATTCTTTGCATATGTGCAGACACCACTAGAACTCTGAGCTTTCATTTTTTAAATGAGTTGTACGTGTCCCACTTGAATGTAAGCTTTCGTAAAAATCTTGTTATTCAAATTTATTGGCCTTTTAACACGGGCAGTTGATTGATTCTTCTATTAGAAACTGGAATCTGAAGTAGCAATTCCAGTATGATGATAATTGAACTTTTTTATCTGGGGTTGTAAGACTCGGGCCATCATTATAGTTCACTGGTTCCAATCTGTGATCCATTAATATATTTAGAGTTGGCATGCAATTGGTGTTTTCTGGATGAGGAAATAACCTTTCTGTTCTAGTTTAACTATTTCTAATATTGTTCTTGTATGAGAAAGGGTGCATCTACACTGCGTTACACTGGATTATAAGCTCATTTTAGAAACTCTTAGTGGTTCTGATTAGTACAGAGGTGGTTTCAGTGTTCTTGTAGTATGCAGAGAGTTGTTAGGAAATACTCCTCGCTTTTTTTTTTCTTCTTTTTTTTGTTGTTTTGTTTTATTAGTGGTGCAATGGTATATTTATTAGGTCCTTCTGTAAAGAGTAGAAGTATTCATTCATCAATCTACCTCTTCCCATGGAGAAATTCCTTCATTAGTCTCCTGTATTTGAAATTTATTGATATGGTATCAGAGCTATAGGATCTAGATTCTCCTTATCTCCTTTCTTTCAAGATAAGTGAAACATTCACTGCATCAACTGCAGCAGGAATACTAGAAAATTCAGAGTTCATTGATGCTATCCACCCTTTTCTGTGCACCCTGGTGATGGCTATGGTGTTGTACTGGTTCAACTAGAATTCACAGTACCTAACTATCATTCTTGGGGCAAGTCCCTCAAGCTTGTTCTCTCCATTTGAATCAAACTTGGGTTCATCACTGGAATGTATCCAGAGCCAAGAGCTATCCCGCAAAAGCAACCTGGATGAGATGCAATGACCTTATTATTGCCTGGCTACTCAAATTGATGTCACCTTAGTTGGCCCCTACTGTATTTTAATTTCAAAATCAGGGATATGGGAAATCCAAAGTATTTTTTTGGCATTGTCCTATGTCAAAGAAAATACACTTTGGATCTGCTCTAATATAATGGACAATTGGGATCGAAACCTATCTTAGTTCCTATGTGTTGAGAGATTTTCTATATTTTGTTATGTTTTTTAAGATTAAGTCATTATTATTTGGTTATATCCATTGTATTAGCTAGATTATCACAACTATATATAGGCCCCTATTTCATGATATTGATATATGCAAATTCTGAAATTCTACAAAATGTAACATGGTATCTAAGCCATGTTTCTGCGGGTACACTCAAACCGGAATGTGCCTCGAGGCTTTCTGGTTATTTTGTCTTAAATCGGATGTCCTGATTCTGTTAAGAGCCTTAAACCAAACACTAGACTGACTATGCTGAGCAGGCCTCCGATGTGACAGGCAGTTGCCAGAATCTCATAGGTTTCCAAGTTTGAGTAAGTCTCATATGTTGCTGAACATATTGCATGCTAGGGTATTCGATTCATAAAACTATTCGACTATTCAATTCGTTTAAAAACTAATTGATATTTTTATAAGGAGCAAGGACAAGAGCTCGAGAACAAGGAGGGGGCAAGGCCCCTGTCGGTGTACCTAATGCAGAGACAGGCTTAGGGTTGCTTTCGCAAGCTTGGGCTTTTATTTATCAATCTTTTAGTAATTATTTGGTTGGGCTTTTAATTATGGACTTTAATTATTTTGGGTTGGATTTATTTTATTTACTAGATTTCGCCTTGCACCAATTCTGAGAAAGTATTTCCCTATGCAGAATGTCCAAGCAACAAAAGAAACGAAACAAACTGTTAATACACTTGTCTTCTTGAAAGGTCCAACTAATGTTGTCCAAGTTCCAAGGGTGTGTTTGGTAACCACCACTGTTTACCTTACGCTGTTTTCAATAAACATATATTATTTTCTTACTGAACATCAAATCAAAATACTATTAATGCCAAAAAACTCAAAACTCTAAATTCAAATCAAAACCAAACAAACACTAAATATTGTTGCTTTGGTTCTTGAAGAAAAACAAAATAGTAATGCAATGGCATTCATTATACTCTTGTCTGATATGAAACATTACAATAGCACATCGTCTAGCCTCGGAGAATCCAAATAAGGCTCTAAGCTACCTCGAGGGATTCCATTTTACAGACTAACTTCTCCGTAAAACCAATTACTTCAAAGAACTCGGAAATTCAAATTTATGTCTTCGGCACAAAAACAGAACATGAACCTTCTATGTTGCACGCAATATGTTCAGCAACAGGTAGCACTCACTCATACTTGAAACCTATAAGATTTTGTAAGATGCAATTGCCTATCGCATCGATGGTCACTCTATCGTGTCAGAGTTGATGCATCATATGATGGTGGGAACTTTGAGATATTACCTTTCTTAAAATTGGTGTGATGGTGAATGAAATAGTAAGGGAAGCTATTGTTTCCTTTTTAAGTTAGTGCCCTATTTTCGACTCTAATGGTGTTGAGAGCTCTAATTTCAACTCTAATTGTGTTGAAAATTTTTGTTTCCGACTCTAACTGCGTTGATAGCCCTGCGTTTGACTCAATAGACGAATCTAGTTGCATCACCTCCAATCTCTCTCGACAAACTCAACTTGGTTTAGCACTAAGTTTGAGGGTATGCTGAGAGGTTTTTTATGTTTTGTTATAATTCATTAGATTATGTTGTTATTATTTGGTTAGATCTATTAGATTAGATAGTTACTATTTGAGTCTACATGATCTGTATCATGCCTATATATATAGGTCCCTATTTCATTATTAATCTGTGCAAAATTTGAAATTCTACAAAATGTACCACCCTGGAAACAAGGAACAAGATGTTTCAAGATGATCGAGAAATGTTGGAAAACCCAGCATATTACAGGAAACTTGTTGGCAGATAATCATCTTACATTTACTAGGATTGATATTGTTTTGCTGTCCATTGTTTTATCCCAGTTTACACAAAGATCAGCAGAAAAACATCTGAGAGCAGCCTTCAAGGTCTTGAAGTTCATAAAAGCAAAACCCGGGAAGGGCATTCTTATGTCCAGAAATTCACCAATGATGCTGAATGCCTCTGCAGATAGTGCTGGGCTACTTGGGTGGATAGCAGAAGGTTTGTTAGTGGTTACTGTGTTTTCTTGGGAAACACTCTTGTTAGCTGGAAATCCAAGAAACAACACATGGTAACTAGGAGCTCTACAGAGGCAGAATTTAGAGCAACTCTTGTGTTTTCTTGCGTCTGTGTAGTTATGTGGTTACAATCTTTATTCAAGGAACTAGATCTCAGTTTGACTGGTACTCCACAAGTATTTTGTGACAACAAAAGTGCAATCCAAATTTGCAAAATTCCTACACATCATGAAAGGACAAACCACTTTGACTTGGATATTCATTTGTTCAAGGAAGAGTGAAACAGAAACAGTTTATCATAGCCTCTATACCTACAGATTAACAACCAGCTGATTTACTTACAAAACCAATTACTGTGAAATGATTTTATAGGCTCATTGCTAAAATGGTCATGAAAGACATTTGTGCACGTTTTGAGGGGTGGTGTCAAAATAGTGATTGTTCTTGTATGAGAAATGGTGCACTATTGTACACTAGATCATAAGCTCATTCTAGAAAATCTTTGTGGTCCTGATTGATATTGAGGTGGTTTTAGTACTCATGTAGCATGCAGAGAGTAGTTAGAAAATATTCCTCCTTTTCTTTTTAGTGATGCAATGATGTATGTACTAGGTCCTTCTGTACAGTATAGAAGTATTCTTCTTCTTCATCAATCTCTCTTCTCATTGTGAAATTCCTCTACAAGTCTCTTGTATTTGAAATTTATTATAAACTAAAAACTGAAGTTATATTAATAAATTGACATGATACTTATTCTTCTCTGAATCTATCACCATTATAGGTAACCTCCTTAAGTCGTTGCAATCCCATGGGGTTGGTTGCTTGTAATGCTTTCTTTTTAGAAGAAAGTGACACAGGCAGCCCTGCAGCGTAGCTGTCTTTCTAGCAGCAACTTAATTGTGTTTAAAATTGTCTTGCTTTGAGTGAATAGTTTTATCAGTTCCTGGGGTCTGGTGATGCTCATTTTGCCCTTTAATATGTATTTCAAAGATCTCTGTAACAAGTTATGTGAAGTCTAATCTTTGTTATATCTTTTGTTGCAAATATCTATAATTTGATATGTCCTGTAGAAAAAATAGTTTCCCATTAAGATAGTATTTTTGTTTTTCAATGCCCCAAGGATGCAATATCTTTATTTTAATTCTGTTTTTGCAGGTGGATCAATTGATGGTCTTGAGACGTTGTTGCGCGCCAAGGTTGTTATGTAGATGAGTTTTATGCTTGTTAAATATTATGCATTTTAGTTTGATTAGTTTTGTTGTTTAAATAAACTTAGATGATAAAAGAGGAGTGCTGTAATGAGCATGAATCTCTTTACTCCTCACTGCTACTTTATTCATCATATTATCGGTGGCATTTTCTCTTTGTTAGGTTTATTCTGTTGAAGATAAAGATGAACTGGAGAAATTTGTGACATCCCCCAAAGTAAATATATATTATTATGGTGCAATAAAAGATGGAAGTTCTCCCCCTCACATGATTTATACAAAAAAGCTAGAAGAGATAAAGCACCAGGTATTGCATGATGATTGGTTGGAAATTATTATTTGTGTGAACCATTTGGCCTGCCCATTGAAATCTCTCTTGATACAGTGCATATCAGAAATTTGGATGAATTCACTTGATCATAGCACTCTCAGGAACACCAAAAAGCTGCTTCAGAATCTGCATTGTAATTTAATATTTTGTCTGGAAAACCTTGGAGTGTGGGGTGCATTCCAGGTTAGGATTGCTAGATTAAATTATTCTACTTTCAAGTCTCTAAAGTGCTTTCGTTACAGTATTTAGATTTGAACAACTAAATGTTTGTTATCGATCATGCTTCAAATGCCTTGAACACACCAAATGAGCTAATTGCTGTATCCTTGAAAATTGAATTTATAGTTTTCTCGTCCTATATATGCAGTGATATTACGCTAATACAATTGGTGCCATGGAAAGCGAATGAAACACCTACCAAATTGAATTAGGATCATAATACCAAATTCCAGTACCTGACAAATGGAATTGATTTCTAACAAGGCTATTTAATTCTCCCAATCAAGTTGAACTTGCTAACCTGGTAGATGTTCAATTACACTAATGAAAATAATGAATTGTGTTACCTTGCTTACCAATCTACTAAAAGTTTCAGCGACTTTGAATCATCAGACAAACAAAGGATTCTGTTAAGCAATACTTATCTAATGACAAACTAGGAGTGCTAGAAAGCTAACCCAGTGGAACACTAGCAGCAATTGTCTGCAATTTTCTTTATTTGGCCCTGAATGTGTGAATACGATGGGTTTGTTCACTTTGTGGTTTTTGGGTGACTGTATTTTTTTGTGTTAGGTATGAAAAATTGTGTTGTAATATAAAAAACAAATTGTTGAATTTTTGTGAGTGAATAAAATATATATTATATATAGGGTGTGTTTGTTTGGGGGTTTGGATTTTGAGTTGGGATTTGAATAGTAAAAATTTTGAATTTGAATAGTTGTATGATTGATATAAATAGGTTTTGATGTGATGTTTTGAATGTAAAATTGATTTTTAGTATAATATAAAAAATGAAAAATAGGTGTTTGATTTGATGTTTTTGGGGGAAAAATGGGATTAATAGTGTATTTAAAATCCAATCCCCCAAACAAAAACACCTATATTGTGTTAATGTGTATATATTATATTATTTTTAACAATATTTATGTGAATCGTTCCACTAAAAAATACTAAGTGAACAAACCCGATGTTTCATCTAAATACTTTTATTTTGTTAATGAATTAGCACTGAAGGTACCAATACCACCCAACATACCTCAACACAGACACTCACTTATTAGTATCTATCTACCTACCTACCTATCTATCTATATATATATAATATTGCATATAGTTTTGTAATTATGGATACCTTTATTCTTTAAGTTTTAAAATAGTTGTCATCCCCGCTGTACGGTTGAGTGTTATTTGCCGCCGCCCAGATTGACAACTATGACTATATGTACGTATAACAACTCATCAGTGAAAGTAGAGAATTTTGATTCAAAATTAAAAGAATGTTGGATACCTCAGATGAATGTTTTGTGTGTTTCTTTGCATTTGGTTTGGAAAATTTTGGTTTAGATTTGGTATTAAAATAATGTATGATGGGATGTTTTGTGAGAGGAAAAAATATATTTCTTTTGAGATATGCAGACTCCAAGTAGTAAAATTTGAAAATTTGGGTAAAAGAAACACACCCGTCTAGTTTTATTTATTACTGTAGGTGATTCCTCTTTCAGGTAATCTAGTATCTGGGCAATTATATTTATTTACCTAAAGAAACAGACATTAAAGTGTCTTACAAAGTTTTTGGTACACATGTTTGTCAACCTATGATCACTTTGTCAAAATTCTGCCTCTTACGGATTACGTCACTAGTATCAGACAAGCTTTGTATCTGAAAATTGCATCAAACGATGTCTTTCCAAGATTTTCACCTGTATATTCTTTCACTAGTCATGACCTTGTTTTGAATGTATTGCTTCCAGCTCTAATGGTGGTTTCTGCCTTAATTGAAGTTTTTATTGAATATGATTTAACTAAAGTCTCCTCTCTCTCTCTCTTGATTTATCTCAAAGGCCAGCTCCATCTTATTAAAGGGAGATCATTATGAAACAACTGAACTAGTGGAGTCAGAAGATATATGCAGTGATGGAAATTTATGCAACAAATACTTGCAGCAGGCTGCTTCAATCCTTGATTCTAATTACCCATCAAGTAACTATGAATGCTGCCTCAACATGACCTTGACTAGTTTGTTTTACTTTATGTTACAGTTTTACCTCCTGATCTCAGTATCTGTAAGTATAGTTGCCTTTTTCTTCTCACAAGATATCAGCGCCTATCGCTTGAATTATTAGGAGAGTCACTTTGGTGTTGCTCCTGTTTATTCTGTATAATCTCTCTTTCAATGATTGTATTTTATTTTTTTTCTCTGACGACTAAATAACCTTTTTCAAATTCACACAGGTTGTATGGAGGCTGATTTGTCACATGTCTTGAAGGAACCTTACTTTTCAAGAAAGCTCTTACGACTTATCGATATTTTATCAGGATTTAGGTTTGTTATTGCTTTCACAAAATTGTACACCATATATTAATAATGCAGTGATTTTACCTTCTTTGGAATGCTTCCTCTCTGGCTCTGCCTATATTCCAGCTTCACTGTGGCTTAGTAAATCGACCACAACAGGACCTAGGTGATTGGTTTAGACCATAGGGAGCCTTGTTTAGGCTGCACACCTTTCCTTGTCATGAAGAAATAATGCATCTGCGAGTTAACTAGGTTTACAGAAAATCTCTATTATTTTGACAACGTATACAGTAACTTGCTATCATGTTTGTGCTGATATTCCGGATCATCTTAACTCCTGGTGGAATATGATTTATGTGAAAGGGAATGATTGTGACCATGCTTAAATTTTAATTGTAAATGCCTGTCAATATAATGAGAGTCTGGCAAGGAAGTGTGTTGTTAAGTTAAACTGTGATCTCCTTTCTCGTTTTAATTCTTATTCTACACTTATCTAGTAACGGTTTATAAATGATTATTATGGATAGCGTTATAATAATAATGTGCTACCATAGTGATGGATCCTTAGTCCGGATATTATATATGGATGTTATCATAAAAATATTAGTTACCAGATTTATAGATTTGTGTTACTATAATTATAGGATTTGACAATTATATGTATATACTATATAGTTGTATACCCTTGCATCTACAGAGATAATCATAGTAATAATAACAGAATTTTGATTTCAAGCTGTCTCTCCATGCTGTTGAGCCCTGCACTGTCTCTTTGCTCCTCTTTCTACTTTCAATCCTTATCTGCCACTTCTTTTGTGACAATCACTGGACTTGATTATGTAGGATTTCTTGAGTACCATTCTTTCAGACAATCTGCTCCACTTGTTGCATCTATCAGTCACTCAAGCGGTCTTGTAACTTGTGTTTCTCAAACTTTCTCACCTAGCCCTTGGGTGCATCTGACCACATTTTTGGATCAGAAGTTGTGTACCATTTTATCCTTCCGTCCATACCCTTTGCTTTTGGAAAAACATACCGAGATTGATTGTCACTTTAACTTCGACAAAGTGTTGTATGGATGTATTAGTACTAACTATGTACCTTCCAACAATCAGTTTACCGACATCCTCATCAAAACTCTTAGAGATCCCTGCATCAATGTTTTGTATGACAAGCTTGGTGCATATAATTTATGTACTCCAGGTTGAAGAAAAGTTTTAGATAATGTTACCATAGGAAGGATATTTTATATTGATATTACCACAAGGGTAATAGTTAACATAATTATAAATATGAGTTATCATCGTAATAGGTTTTGACAATTATATCATACCTTGCATCTATGAATTGATGATAACAACATTATATGTGTTCCGGCTGTGATATGCTATAATCTAAGTTTCGAATTTTATTGTTATGTATATTATATTTTTTTAATAATATTTTTAAGAAACATGGGGGAATAAAACACTAATAGTGAACCCCACTCTTACTTTCTCTGTATTCTTGTTTGAATACCATTTTCATTTTTAATGATACAATTGACTGTGCACTGTAGTTTCTTTATGTATTTATTCGGTGCTCTTATTTTATAACTGTATTTTGAATGAGTATACCAGTGAAGTTCTTTCATAGTGTCATTCAACATGTACTCATCTACGGAGACTATTAGTTTGGGAATCTATCTGTGTTATTGTTTATATAATTAGATACATCTTGTACATCTATGCATTTTGACAATTTAATTTTCTGTGCAGGTTGCAGCCAAATATGAAATGTATAATTTTTGTCAATAGGATTATTACTGCAAGATCCCTCTCGCATATACTTGGATCTCTAAAGATTTTATCATCTTGGAAGTGCGGTTATCTTGTAGGAGTTCATTCTAAGCTTGTGTCACGTAAAAATACCAACATTATTCTTGAGAAGTTTCGATCTGGGCAGGTATTCCTATCTGATAACTTGGTTTTCTGCTTTATCTTTCCCTACAACTTTTAGTTTGGTTGACTCAACCTCCACCTACCAATGCTCTGTGAAGATGTTGTGAATTCTCTTTTTTTTCTTAATTATTTACACTGATCCAAATATGGTCCAATCGACATAATCTTGTGGTCCTGATCAAAGTATTTTGGCAGCTTAATCTTTTAGTTGCTACAAAAGTGGGTGAAGAGGGACTCGATATTCAAACCTGTTGCCTAGTCATACGATTTGATCTCCCAGAAACAGTTGCAAGTTTTATTCAATCTAGAGGCCGCGCCCGAATGCCACAATCTGAATATGCTTTTTTGGTGGACAGGTTGTTATGTTCAGTATTTCTATTCATCTACGTGTTTCATTTTATTTATTTATTTATATTATTATTATTATTATTATTATTATTATTATTATCAATTTCTTACTTTTAATGAAGTTGAAGACCTGACATTCCAAACACTTCAGGGGCAACCATAGGGAACTCAATTTGATCGAACACTTTAAGAAAGATGAAGCTCAGATGAATGAAGAAATTTCCTTGAGGAAATCTAATCTTCCAATGAAGGAGTTTGATGAAAGAACCTATAAAGTGGATGCTACTGGGGCAACTATTAGTTCTGTTCTGAGTATTTCATTGCTGCATCACTATTGTTCAAAGCTTCCTCATGATGAGTATGATCTTATGCTTAGCATTATGTTTGATATATTATCATCTCAGATTTGCAGTTACAATGCTATTTGTTTGTGTTGATAAGTTTTCCATTGGTTTGAATTTATTTTATTTCTTGTATCAGGTATTTTAATCCAAAGCCCCAATTTTTCTACTATGATGGTGTAGATGGAATGGTCTGCCAGATAATTCTTCCAGCTAATGCTCCAATTCATCAAGTTGTTAGCACCCCACAATCTTCAATTGAGGCTGCTAAAAGAGAGGCTTGCTTGAAAGCATGCAAGGAATTACATGAAGTTGGGGCATTGACTGATTATCTCTTGCCAGGGCAAAGTGGAACTTATGAAGAATCAGATGAGGACTTAACTGATTCCTTCACAACTGATGGTCATGGAGTGCCATTATTTTTTATTTTTACTGTGCATACGCAATCTGAAGTGTTTAATCTGCTTGTTTTGCATTTATTGCAGGGGAGCAGTCACGGGCAGAACTACATGAGATGCTCGTTCCTTCAGCACTTCGGAAACCATGGGTTGGAGTTGGAGATAGTACTTCATTCACTTCCTATTATGTCAAGTTTTCTCCTAATCCAGCAGATAGGACCTATAGAAGGTTTGGTCTTTTTCTGAAAGAGCCCCTCCCTGAAGAAGCTGGGAAAATGAAAGTTGACCTTTGTTTAGCCCGTGGTAGAACGGTGATGACACAGCTTGTTGGATTTGGAGAAATTGAATTCAATAAAGATGAGGTATAGCTCTTTCTTGAGGTTTGAAGCTGAGAGGATGATGCTCATTTGGTCCTCTAACTTTCATGTCTTCATTGTACAGATTGCTGCAGCAGAGATGTTCCAAAAAATGTGTCTGAATATTATTCTTGATCGGCATATGTTTGTTTCAGAATATGTTTCTCTAGAAAATGATGATGCCTATGAATCAAGTTCATCTTCATTCTATTTGTTGCTTCCTGTGGTTCCACATGAGTATAACAAGATCTCTGTTGATTGGACACTAGTCAAGAGATGTTTGTCATCCCCAATATTCAGAAACACAGGTTTTGTTGCAACTGGTGCAACTTCTCAACTGAAAAACCACTTGCATCTTGCCAATGGACTAAAAAGTAGAGAAGATGTTGTGAACAGTTTGGTCTATGTGCCGTGCAAAGACACATTTTTCTTCATTTCTGATATTTCTCCACATGAAAATGGATATAGCTTATATGATGATACAAAAAGCCATGTGGAGCACTACACTGAAGTGTAAGTTAAATCCTTTCCTCTTTCCCATTGTTAACAGTAATGCTCCCTCATTTGGTATCTGAAGTCTGTTAGGAAAGTAATATAGAAGTGTATTTTACTACATGTCTGACTGCTTCTAGCTTGGATATTAGACAGTGATTTAATTAGTAGACGCGGAAGGAACTTATACTTGAAACTCTTTTGCTGCTTCTTGTAAAAATGAGTGATCTATTGCACTGTCGCCTATGTAATTTGTTACACCACAGTCGCTTTGGTGCGTTCCTGACATGCTTGTCCTATTACAAGTAGAATGCTTCTGATCATAAAGCTGTTTTACATGTGCTTAGTTACGGTTATAACTGCAATTGTCAATTGTCAAAGAATAGCTGAGTTATAATGTTGTTGAGATATTTTAGATATTTAGTTTTAGATTTATTAGATTTAGATTTAGATTTGGTCATATCCATTATATTACATTATTTAGATTGAGTCTATCGAGTTTGTTTTAGGTTGCCTATATATAGGCCCCTTATTGTGATTATCAAGAATGCAAGCTTTAGATTTTCTGCAAAATATTTTAACATGGTATCAGAGCTTTAGAAATTTTTCTAGGGTTTTGTAGTCTTCTTCAAGCAGCCTTCATCGCTGTGTTTTGTTCTGGCCTTAATTGCTGTGAATTTTTCTTCTTCACTAAATCATGTCTGAAACCATCTTTAAGGGAAAGAATGATATGCCTAAACACTTTGGTAGAGATAACCAAGGGAAAGAAAATAAAGACAATCTTTGGTGTACTTATTGCAAGAAACCTAGGCATACAAGGGAAAAGTGTTGCAAGCTGAATGGTAAACCTCCAAGCCGAGAGTGGGGCTACCGTGGGGGGCAGCAGCAAAGGCCTCAAGCGCATATGGCAGAGCAGCCCAATATTGAGGAAAATCTAGCAATAGGGGGTTCAATAGTGAAGAAATTGAGAGATTGAGAAGTTTGTTGGGGACTCTTGAGAAGCCTTCTGGAACATGTTCAATGGCTCTTTCAGGTAAATCTGTGTGCACGAATGTCTTAGACAAATTATGTACCAACTCTTGGATCATGGACTCCGGTGCTACAGACCATATGACCCCCACATCTCAACTCTTCCACACCTATACCCCATGTCCAAGTAATAGAAAAATTGTTATGGCCAATGGTTCTTTAGCCACTGTTGCAGGGATTGGAAATATACATATCACACCTAGCCTTATCCTTAAAAATATCCTACATGTGCCCAAACTGTCAACAAGCCTTGTTTCCATTCAAAAGTTGACTCATGATCTTAAATGTTATGTTGTTTTTTGCTCTTCTTATTGTGTTTTTCAGGACCAGGACTTGGGGAGGAGGATTGGACTTGCTAAGGAAAGGAACGATCTTTACCACCTTGAACCATCTAAAAAACCTAAGAGTAACTTACCTTTTTCTTTCCTTAGTTCCTCGAATAAATATGTCATTTGGCTAGATCACCTACGAAGAAGGATTTTAAAAATAATGTTCCTCATTTGTTCAAGGATTAGATATTTCTGAATTTCATTGTGACATCTGTGAATTGGCAAAACATATCCGTGCACCTTTTCCTATTAGCAATAAGAGAAGTTCTCATCTTTTTCAGTTGATTCATAGTGACATATAGGGTCCTTCCACTATACCTATTGTCTCTGGGGCTCGTTGGTTTGTGTCCTTAATTGATGATTGCACTCGGGTCACATGGCTCTTTCTTCTTAAACAAAAGTCTAATGTTAGCATTGTTATACCTAATTTTCATTCAATGGTTCAAAATCAATTTGAGGTCAAAATAAAAAGCTTTAGGACAGACAATGCTAGAGATTATTTTATTCAGATTCTGTCACCTTACTTTCAATCACAGGGGATTATCCATGATTCATCATGTGTGGAGACACCCCAACAAAATGGGGTAGCTTAAAGAAAGAATAGGCATTTACTCAACACCACCTGAGACTTATTGTTTCAAGGGAATGTTCCTAAGTCCTATTGGGGAGAAGCCGTTCTTATTGCCACATATATGATAAATAGACTTTCCTTCCATATGTTAGAAAACAAAAGCCCCATAGAGGCCCTTCGTAGCTTTGACCCTAGAACCTCAAATGGCCTCACTCCTAGGGTATTTGGGTGTACCGCCTTTGTTCATGTCCACAAACAACATAGAGGGAAGCTAGACCCTAGAGCCATCAAATGTGTTTTCCTCGGTTACTCATCCACTCAAAAGGGATACAAATGTTACAACCTCTTGACAAAAAAATTTTACATCTCTGCGGATGTCACTTTCACAGAAAATAGACCTTTTTTCAAGTCCTCTCTTCAGAGGGAGATTTCAATGATGGAAGATAGTACTTGTGAGTCTTTCGAACCACGTAAAACCCTTGACTTTCCGCATGTGCCACCCCGCAGTCACTCAGAACAAAACCCTCATGTTCCGGTTGAACCTGAGTCCTTTGAACCAGTCACATCTGAGTCACCCGATCCTGTCACTGAACCCATATCATCTCCTTCTCCAACCAGCATCACTCACAATTTTCCAAAGTTTCCTCATGTGTATTCAAGGAGAAAGACTGTTCCTGAACTGACACAAGTCCAAGAATCCAATTCAAATTCTGAGAAAGAAATCACGGTAAGATCAGATCCACTGATTCTACTACTGTTCTGGATCTTCCCATTGCTTATAGAAAAGAAACTAGAGAATGCACTAAACGACCACTCTATCCTCTATCTCACTATGTCTCTTTTAAGCGCTTATCGCCAGCCCAAAAGGGATTCATTATGAGTTTGAACACCATTGCCATCCCTCACAATGTGTCTGAGGCATTGTCAAAAAAGGAATGGAGGGATGCTATGAGAGAAGAGATGAATGCATTAGAGAAGAATAAAACATGGGAGATCGTTGATAAACTAAAGGGAAAAAACATTGTTGATTGCAAATGGATTTTTACATTGAAGGACAATGCTGATGGATCCCTTGAAAGATATAAAGCAAGGTTAGTAGCCAAATGATACACTCAAACTTATGGGGTGGATTATCAAGAAACATTTGCTCCAGTTGCAAAAATGAACACAGTAAGAATTTTGTTATCATTGGCTGCTCACTTTAATTGGCAACTGCTTCAATATGATGTTAAGAACGCATTCCTCCGTGGTGACTTAAATGAGGAAATCTACATGAACATTCCACCAGGATTTGAAAGGGACACTGGTAACAAGGTGTGTAAACTGAAAAAAGCCCTTTATGGGTTAAAACAATCTCCTAGAGCATGGTTTGGCAGATTTGCAAAAATCACGAAGGAATTTTGGTACAAACAAAGCCAAGGTGACCACACGCTTTTCATTAAGCATTCAGCTGTAGGGAGAGTGACTGCTCTTTTAGTCTGTGGACGACATTATAATGACTGGAAATGATGAGAAATAGAAGCATGAATTAAAGCCGATTTCTACTCCAATAGATCTAAACTATAAATTGGGAGAAGCTAAAGAAGAACCAGCTGTGGATAAAAGAATGTACTAGAGGTTGGTTGGCAGACTTATATACCTTGTTCACACTCGACCAGACATAACATATTCTGTAAGGTTGATCAGCCAATTCATGCATATGATCCAAGAGAACCTCATCTTCAAGCCGCTTACAGGGTACTGCACTACTTGAAAGGCAATCCGAAAGGAATCTTGTTCAAAAGGAATGACACTCTTACTTTGGAAGCCTACACCGATGCTGACTATGCTGGCTCCCTAGTGGATAAAAGATCAACTGCAGGGCATTGTACTTTTCTTGGAGGTAACCTAGTGACATGGAGGAGCAAGAAGCAGAATGTAGTGGCAAGGTCATCAGCAGAATCAGAATTTAGGGCAATTGCTCAAGGATTATGCGAATTACTTTGGCTGAGGATTATTTTGGATGATTTGAGAGTCAAATGGGAGGGTCCTATGAAGCTTTACTGTGACAATAAGTCAGCTATTAATATAGCTAATAATCCTATACAACATGATAGGACAAAACATATTGAAATTGATAGACATCTCATCAAAGAAAAACTGGAGGAAGGGTTAATATGTATGTCCTATGTTCCATCAGAGAGACAATTAGCCGATGTTCTAACAAAGGGGTTGAACAGTTCGAGTTTCCATGATCTTGTATCCAAGCTGGGAATGGAAGACATCGATTCCTCAGCTTGAGGGGAAGTGTTAAAGAATAGCTGAGTTATAATGTTGTTGAGATATTTTAGATATTTTAGATATTTAGTTTTAGATTTGTTAGATTTAAATTTAGATTTGGTCGTATCCATTAGATTACATTATTTAGATTGAGTCTATCGAGTTTGTTTTAGGTTGCCTATATATAGGCCCCTTATTTTGATTATCAAGAATGCAAACTTTAGAGTTTCCGCAAAATACTTTAACATCAATAAATATATTGTGCGTTTTCGTGACTTAAATTGGGCTAGCCATTGCTACATGGACAAATGAACTCCTGTTACTTATCCACATCAAAGAATATCGTTCATGATTTTGTTAACAATCTACATCAAAAGTTTGAATCAACTATTCAGAAACTTAAAGTGCTTTGATTGGTGTATCACAACTGTAATCTTCTTAAGGAGAAGTCTTATGGATTTCACATAGGTTGCACCTACTACTTCATGTTTGCTTGTTTTCTTTCTTTTTTCTTTTTGTTTGTTTTATTTTGTTTTTTTGGGTACTATTCAATATCTAAAATTTCCCTCCAAAAACAATAATTCAACATCAATTTTCCATTCAAAATATCACATATTATTATAAATGATGTTGATCCTTCAGCGATGTCATTTATTTCTCTTGGACTGTTCACTTTACTGCCGCAGGTTCAATGTGCATCTTGCATATCCCAATCAACCCCTTCTGAAAGCCAAGCAACTTTTTGTTTTGGACAACTTACTGAGAAAGAGAAAACACTCAGGTATAATCTGTTCTCATGTGTCAGAATTTATTTATTTGTTATAGTTTTTTTAATGCTGTGACTTAAGCCTTGTCTGAATATTATCTTACAACTTCTGTCAATCCTCGCATGCATAAAAGGATTGTTGATGCTACAGAGTATTATAATTTTTTTTAATGGAAAATATTTTTTTTAAATCCAGTGCCCAGTTGAGTTAATAATTGGGTAATGTGTTAAAGTTTTGAATTTTTTCGTAATCAATATTGGAAGTATTACGATGATATTGATTGTTGGTTATGGTCTTGCTGAAATGACAAGAGGAGTCTCACTCAGATTCCCATGAAAATTTTTCGTTGTGAACTTATGTCAAGCACTTTTATGTCCTTCAGTTGAATAGAGTGTTGAAAATGTGCACAAGTGTATGCAGAATTGTATATGTCAATTCTAGTTTTTACAATACATTGCATTCAATATATATATATTTATATATGCAATTTCTTGGTACACTAAACAAGGAAAATCTTAAAATCACTCTACAAAATTCCTTGATTTTGTCCATAGATTAAAGACTATTTATGACCAGTAAAAAAACTATTTATTACCTTACTTTCTCCACTAATTTACTTTTATTGTCGCCTAAAATTTCTCCAAGCTTTCCTGCACTCTTTCTCAAGCTGGTGAAGAAAGATCTTCCATTCTCAGCTTGACAATACTCACATGAAACCTGTTACTCAGTCCCTTTGTCATCATATCTGCAAATTTAAGTCCTATTGGAACATATGGAGTACAAATCAGCCCACTTTCTAGTTTCTTTATAATGAAATTCATATCTATCTCTGTATGCTTTGTCCAATCATGTTACACTGGGTTGTAGACTCTTGTTTCTGACCTTGCTACCACATTTTGTTCCTTCTCCAAGATATTGAGTTTCCTTCAAGAAATGTACAATAGCCTGAATTTGATTGTCTGTTGGCTGGAGATCCTGCAACATAGACCTTCTAGATTTCAGCTGACATTTGAAAAAAGAATAAAAAATTATGATGTTATGTTTAGGGTATAATCATGAACTCTGGGTAAAATTTGGTTGCAGTGAAACAGATCGCTATGGCAAATGAGCACATGAAACCAGCTTGAGCGTTTTCTTTATTAAATAATATTATCTATTTACTTTCATAAACCCATTTTATATTTCTCTCTCAAAAAGAAAATCTCTGTACTCTTGGTCAATTCCACTCATTGAGTGACCTGTACTCCCTGATTTTATCTGGTTTACTATTTTATATGTATTCCATCATTGAGACTGAATTCACATACAGTGACAGATTTTGAAACTAAATCAAACTTTGAGACTATGAAAATAATTACAATGAAACTTTGAGACTATGGATTCAACTACGATGACTACCTTTGAAAATAAATCAAACTTTTCAATGAGTTACTATATGAAACAGAGTAATTTAAAAGTAGTAGATTTAATTTTTTAACGGGATGCAAAAGTTGATTTGCCATGTCTGGATTTTTGCCAAAATGATGTGATTAAGGGCAGTGGAATCCTCTGCAACTTAGAACAATGGATTGGAGAATTTGTCAAATTTAGAGACCATACATGGCAGTTCTAAAATTCATGTGGAGTTCAATATCAGGGTGTAGGTAGATATTTATTTCTTATACATTATTACTATTTTTTATGAAAGTAGTTCCACTGTAATGTACTGCACCTCTTGTAGATGGACTAGAGCTATAATGTATGGAGATTGGAGAGATCATATGACATCTCTTTGTTTACTTGTTCTTTTTAAATGCTTTTTCTGCATATGCTTACATGTATGTTTAACTGATTATCCATCTTATTGCCTTTGCTTATGGATTATTTGGCTGGTGACATACACAAGAGTGGCGAGAAAAACTGGAACATTTCATTGAATTGCCTCCCGAGATTTGTCAGTTGAAAGTTATTGGTTTTTCTAAAGATATTGGAAGTTCATTGTCCCTGTTACCATCGATCATGCATCGGCTTGAAAGCTTTTTGGTGGCAGTTGAATTAAAGGACCGATTTATTGCATCTTTTCCCGAGGGAGCAGAAGTTTCCACTGATCGTGTAAGTTCCATTTATTATTATTATTATTATTCTTTCCCGCTTTATTATATTATTTTTGGAGTATGTTATCTATTATTTTATCATAGGTTCTGGTTTCACATTAAATCATATCACATAAATGCATTATTTTCTGCAATTGCTTTTTTGTGTGTGTGTGTGTCCTTTTGGTCCCTTTTGGTGCTAATGATAAATTAGGACAGATTCTTGAAGCTCTCACAACGGAAAGATGTGGTGAACACTTTTCTTTTGAAAGACTGGAAGTGCTTGGAGATGCATTTCTCAAGTTTGTGGTTGGTAGGCATCTTTTCCTCAAGCATGCCTCATTAGATGAAGGACAACTGACTGGAAAGCGTTCCAACATTGTCAACAACTCTAATTTACTCAAGTTGGCCTTGAAGAAAAGTTTACAGGTAATTGTTGACAATTTCTGAGCACAATTGCAATGACAAATTGATTGTTTTTTGCTCATTTGATGCCTCTTTATAAAATAGGTAACATCCTTTTTTGATTTACTGTCCTGCGCCATGTCTAAATTCCCTGTTTTTTCTCCAAAGAATATTTATACTCCCTGTCAATGTTAGATACACCAAGGCCCAATCTCTGTTAAGTGAGGAGACTTCTTGGATATTCACAGATTGGATTTCTGATATACTTAGTATTTCCTTTAAAATAGCAACAGAAGTTAAGTGGCTGCACTATCTCTCTGTTATTTTAAGTGACTATATAAGTACAGAAAGATGATGTGAACTTTAGAATCAAACATTATCCGAGAATGTAGTAGAATAGAAACATAAATAAAACCAATTTGAGTAAAGCCAGTATACTTGAATGGTATGAGTTTCCCTATTTATTTGGTATTCCTGGAAATTAGTTGTGTATTCATCCTTTGTATTGGTTTACTTTGATGGATAAGTGTGAAGTCATAAATTAGGCATTTATTATAAGATGGGTACTGTCCCCCTTTCTCCCTTTTTAATGTTCTATTATTATTATTATTATTAAAGACTTTTGCATAAAGAGTTCGGATAAGGAATGCCATGGTTATTAGGCCAAAACTAATGCAAATAGTGAATTCCATCCATTGATAGGTAGAAAAACATATGTAGGATAGGAAATTTGTATGTTTTTCTCTTGTAACAGAAAGAGACTCCCTAAGTAGAAATAAGGTTACGTAAATGCTAATGATATGCATATAAACTATATTTTAAAGCACTACTCAAGATGAAGAAGTGAATGAAGTCACAATTTGATGCCCTATGATAGACTCACGATAAAGTGGAAGTCAACCTCAATATAATTAATCCTTTCATGAAGAACTGATTATTATTTACAATGTAATTTGTTGACTCTATATCACAATGCGTAAGTACAATGAGCCCCAATTCCTAAAGCAAATTCTTTACCTAAATCATCTAAATGAGCCATAGTGCTATACTCAGCCTCCACGGAAGATCTGGCAATGAGATTTGTTTGTTACTGCACCATGTGACTAGATTTTTTCCTACATAAGTGCAATATCTAGAAGTAGATTGTTTGTCCATCTTTGACCTAGCAGTCACCATAAGAATATCCTTTTGATTTTGGGATGACAAAACTTTCTTAATCAAAAAACTTCTGCCTGGGATTTTTTGATATATTTACGTATTCAAAGAGTAGCATCCAGTGAAGCTCCTTTGGCTTACCATAAAATGGATTACCACTGCAACAACAAAAGGCAACCCTAGTTACAATTTACTTGTATTAGCTTCCCAGCAAGCCTTCTGTAGGTATTTCTTAGTCTCCCTGATTCCTTGTGCATCACTGCCTGATACAAGAATGTCATCAACTTACTCAATGAGAATGACCATTTTCATCTATGCGTGTTCCCACAAATACAGAACAATCCGACTTGCAATTGCTTAAAATCAACGCCACTAAGGACATTGCGGAATTTATCAAACTGAGCTTTAGGACATTGCGGAATTTATCAAACTGAGGTTTAGGACATTGCTTGAGACCATAAATGGCCTTCTTATGAAAAAAGACCATGGGGTATAATTCTTCCCTTGAGCAACATACTGTGGAGGTTGTGCCATAAACAGTCGGATTCAAAACACTATAAAAGAATGCATTCTTCACATTAAGTTGGTAGATTTAGGCTATAGGATAGATTGACAACCAAAGAGAACAAAATCCAAATAGAATTCAAACAAGCAGGAAGAGAATCGCCTCATAGTAATCAAATCATCGTAAAGGAATGCATTGTTCACATCAAGTTGCACTTAAGCTTTGGTTCGGCATTTAGTTAATTTCTTTGTATTAGCACCATGATATGCCGATAAATGATATGTCAATATTTTTCATTTAAAAGGAATTAATGTAGAATGCAACAGTGATCAGTATCAATTCAATTTTATGTTCATGATTACATCCTTCAAGCTCTTAAAATTATAGTTTGTAACACTGGCTTCCTGGACTTAATCTGGCGAAGCAATTTGGCAATGTAAATCCTTGTAGCAGCCCTTGCTATGTTTTGATAGTTTGGCTATTTTTGTCAGTTCTATTGTGTCGCAAAATCTGTTAATTTTGTACTAAAAACTTATAAGCAATCATTTTAGTATTGAAGCGATTCATGGCCTTGAGTTGTGAATTAAATAGATTGTTGCAAATAATCAAATAAAAAACAGTCAATATGCATCACTTATCTTGATTATTTATTTTTATAATTTTTTTAAAGCCAAAATAACAGCAGATTTGGAAATTAAAAGAGCAAAGTTGGGATTTTGATTCTGTTTGTTTACATTTAATCAATATTTTTGTTTTGAATTTGTGTAGCAAATTACTTTTGTTTTTTAAACAATGAATGTATTTCAGATGTACATACGAGATCAATCATTTGAAGCTGACCAATTCTTTGCATTTGGTCGCCGCTGTCCTTTGAGCTGCACGGCTGAAACTTCAGACGGCATCCACTCTCAATGTTATGACAAGAAATATTGTGGAAACTACGAAGTTAAATGTGACAAAAATCATCACTGGTTGCATAACAAAACAGTTGCAGATGTTGTTGAGGCGCTTGTTGGTGCTTTCATAGTCGACTCTGGATTCAAAGCAGCAACTGCTTTTCTGAATTGGGTTGGAATAAAAGTAGATTTTACATTGTCTGAAATTGATGATCTTTGCTCTGCTAGCAAGACGTTTCTGCCACTTTCTGATAAGATTGATGTCGATGCTCTCGAAGATAAATTAGGATACAAGTTTGCCAATAAAGGTTTGCTCATTCAGGCCTTTGTCCATCCATCTTTCAACAATCATACGGGTGGCTGCTACCAGGTATGCTTCGATATCCGATCCTGCCGTGAATATCTATTGATTTGGAAATTTTATGATTTTGGATGCTGACGGATATTTAATTTCATGTACCAGAGACTTGAATTTCTTGGAGACGCCATCTTAGATTTTCTGATTACATCCTATCTGTATTCAGTATATCCCGACTTAAAACCTGGCCAATTAACTGATTTGAGGTCAGTATCTGTGAACAACTCGTCGATTGCTGATGTAGCTGGACGGTGGTCCTTTCACAAATTTATCATTTGTGATTCGAGTGCTCTCCATGAAGCAATGACTGTTTATACGAACACTAATGGAGGATCACTGACACATAATAAGAATGTCGAGGAGAGAACTTGCCCAAAGGTTTCTGTTACTGTTTCACTTTATTTCCTTCATTTGTAAATACTATGATGTCCTACTGTACTGTTAACAATTTTATTTCGAAACTCTTGTTTATAATTGATGGAAGCAACAGAAACTGATTAGAACACTAATGTGATTCAATACTTTTTAGGCCCTGGGTGATTTGGTGGAGTCTTGTATTGGCGCGATATATCTTGACACCCGATTTGATTTGAACCGTGTTTGGAAGATAATGCTGTCGATGCTGGATGAGATTATCACATTTTCAAATCTGCAGTTCAATCCTCTTAGAGACCTTTATGAACTTTGCCAATCTCATAATTTAGAGATTCAATTTTCTTCGTCGAAAAGAGATGGTAAATTCGAAGTTGAAGCTAAAGCAGAGATAGGAGATGTTCCTGCTACGGCTTCAGCCACCAACACGAGCAAAAGAGTCGCAGAAAGAATGGCTGCAAGGCAACTATTTGAACGCTTGAAGGTGCAACTATTCCCAAATGCAGTTAGATGCTTTTTGTAATTAGTTATTTATAGCTTCTCATTCCCATTTCTTTCCCTGCAGAGTCAAGGTTATAAATCCAAGTCGAAATCATTGGACGAAGTGCTGAGAACAAGCCGAAAGAGGGAAGCAGAATTGATCGGATACAATGAAATGCCATGTTATGAAGCAGCTGTGTCGAGCAGATTGGAAGCACTACGAATTTCTCAAAGCAATTGTGATGTGAAAATACATTCTCTTAATGAGATACCTTCAGGTAATCAAAACTCGGGTTCCAAAGCCTGCGCCACGCCATCCAGTAGCAATGGTAGTCCTAGAACGCGGGGAATAGGTACTGGTTATTGCATTGGTTTTTTTGACTTTTTAATCACATTCTCTAACTAGAAAGCTTCACAGGCTCACCATCAGCAAAATCACGTTTGTACGAAGTATGTGCCGTTAACTGCTGGAAGCCACCGATTTTTGAATGCTTCCAAGAAACCGGACCGAGCCACCTTAAGGAGTAAGTCTGTTGTATACTTCCTGTCATAAATATATACATATGTTTTATTTTCTTATTTGTCGGTTTTTTGTTTAATAAAAAATCATACTAATTTTTACTCCCTTCGTTATCCAATTGTGTGCTCATTTGACCGAGCATAGGTTTTAAGAAAAATAGGTAAAAGTAGAAATTTTTACTTTTTTTATAAAGAAAAAGTAGAAAAAATGGTATTTTTTTATTAAAAAAAAAACGAAAGTAAGTAGATTTGAATTACAAAGGAAGTGTGCTTACTATCTTTATTTACTTTTTTATTATATAAAAAGCAAAATAATACACATTACATTAAAATTCATGCTCAAATCGAATGAGCTTATTTTTATACGATGGAGGGAGTAGATTCATTTGTAATGATTTCAAATTTGCTCGATAATAAAGTTGTGTTGTCTATGACAAGAAGCCGAAACTGAAAGTGTTGTTGCATTTGCAGATTCACATTCAAGGTTAATCTGGAAATTGAGGAGCTCCCGAAGCAGTCATTTGAGTTCTACGGGGAAGCTCAAACCCGGAAAAAGGTTGCTGCTGAGGATGCCGCGGAAGGAGCTCTTTGGTTCTTGAAACATGAAGGATACATATGAATATGAATATGATATGGGATCAGAAGAAACATAAGTCTTCTCTTACCACCATTTTTAAGGAAGTATGTATGTATCTATTTATTTCAACTTTTGATGGTTGGGTTGCATTTCATATACTGGGATTCTCTTGTTTTCTTAATGACATACAACTGCTCTTCTGCTCATATTACTGATTCTTTTGCACAATAAGCTTTGTTTTTGTGTTTAATATGTTTTTAAATTTTAAATAATATTTTGAAAAAATTTATATATATATATATATATATACTTAAAATCAAATGTATCACTGTATTAGTATAAAAATTTGAATTCAATAAACGTACAATTATACTCTTTTCTGTAGATACGAGAATTTATATAAAGTATAATTAATAAATAATTAAAAAATATATTAATAAAAATAATTGTTATTTACTAAAAATAATTATAAATTAAGATTAAAATAAATAAATAGTTAATTTAAAACTTAAAATGTAATTAAAATAAATAATTATATTTTCAAACAAATAAAAGATAATTATATAATACGAAAGGAGTATGAATTAAGGATGAACTAACCATTGGACCGTAGAAATAACTAAACCACAACCACCCGGACCACCCCCTAATTTAGTATAAAAATAATATTTAATAAAATATTTTATAAAAAAAATATGTACTTCGGTCCCAAATAATGATATTTGTTTAATATATTAAAAAAAATATAAAATTATTAATTATATTAAATAAATAGGTAATACAATTACTATATAACAATAACAATAATAATAATAATAATAATTAAAATTAAAAATCCTCATCAAGCTTGAACACATAATTCTCCGTCCCGTTCCCAGTGAGCCCCGCCATTACCGCCGCCTTCTGATACTCCCCAACCCTCTTCTCAAAAAAATTGGTCTTCCCCTGCAAGCTTATCAGCTCCATCCAATCGAACGGATTCTGCGCACTGTATACCTTCCCGCACCCCAACGCCACCAGCAATCTGTCCGCCACAAACTCTATGTACTCGCTCATCAGCTTCCCGTTCATCCCTACTAGCGCGCATGGCAGCGCGTCGCACACAAACTCCCTCTCGATCTCCACCGCCTCCGCCACTATCCCCTTCACCTTCTCCTCGCTCACCTTCGTCTTCAACAGACTGTACATCAGGCACGCGAAGTCGCAGTGCAGCCCCTCGTCGCGAGAAATTAGTTCGTTAGAGAATGTCAGACCTGGCATCAGACCGCGCTTTTTCAGCCAGAAGATAGCGCAGAAGCTGCCGGAGAAGAAGATACCCTCCACGCAGGCAAAGGCGATTAGGCGCTCGGCGAAGGATTCGGAGGCGTCGATCCACCGGAGCGCCCACTGCGCCTTCTTCTCGACGCAGGGGATTGTGTCGATTGCGCGGAAGAGGAGGTGTTTCTCGTCGGAATCCTTGATGTAGGTCTCCAGTAGGAGGCTGTACATCTCAGAGTGGATGTTTTCGATGGCGATTTGGAAGCCGTAGAAGGCTCGGGCTTCGGAGACTTGGATTTCGGTCATGAAACGGCCGGCGAGATTTTCGAGCACGATTCCGTCGGAGGCGGCGAAGAAGGCGAGCACGTGTTTGATGAAGTGTTTCTCGTCGGCGGTGAGGGTGTTCCAATGGCGGAGATCGTCGGAGAGGTCGACTTCCTCGGCGGTCCAGAAGGAGGCCATGGCTTTCTTGTACATTTCCCAGATTTGGGGGTATTGGATTGGGAACATACAGAAGCGGTCGGGGTTGGGGGCGAGAAGAGGCTCCTCTGGAATGGAAGGCATCTTGTTGCTCGAATTCGAAATTTCGAAACCCTAATTTGAGGGAGGAAGGAAGGTCTGTGATTTGTGAGAGCGGCCATTGATGGGGTTAGGGTTTAAATAGGTGGAGGGAGGGAAGCGGGAAGGGGACGAAGGAATCTTGCAGGAGACGCCATTGAAATATTTTGAGGGCTCCAAATCAAAATTCAATTTTTATGATTTCCCTCGCTTCAATTCTTCGATTTCCAAATTCGATTTTGTTTTTTATTTTTTTAATTATTAAATAGAAAAATAATTAGATGGGAGGGGAGTGGAGTGGAGAGGGCGGGAATGGAATTTAATTGAAATTAATTTTGGTGGCAGAAGAGATTGCAATAATTGTGATTAGCACATGTTCGCGCAATCGACGGTTTCTTCCCCACTTTTTTTCTACTATAAAATTAAATATTTTCTCAATCTATTTTTCAAATTTTTTCCCTTTTTCTTATTTTTGTTACTTTTTATTTAAATTATACATTTAAATCTTATTTTAAATTTTTTAATTTATAATTTTTTTATTTTAATTAGATTAATTAATTATTTTAATCTAAATTTATAATTCTTTTTATTTTATATACAGTTATTTTTACTAATATATTCTTAATTATTTATTAATTATATTCCTCTTAAATTTTCGTATCTATAGTAAATAGGACACCGTAGCAGAGTAGGATGGAGTAATATTTTAATATGGTATTTTGCAATATAAATAATAAAGTGTGTTTGTTTTGTATTTTTTTTTAAGATGTATATTTTTATATTGTGTGCAATAAATTTAAAATTAATAATAGACCAATTAATCATAAAGTGATAGATAATTTGGATTTGAATAGTGTAGAGCAATCATCATTGGACACAAAGTTAAATTTATCTAATGTTGAATTCAAACTACTACATGAGATATGATGGAAAGAAAAGGGGCATGTGAATTATAAACATGGTCCAGACAATATCTTGTATTTGTATAGAACTTAAGAAATTGTTCCCCCATTTCCCTTCCCTAACTACACACATATGTATTTTGTTGTTTATCGGTATCCCTAATTCTGTGTATTCATGTTTTATGTTTCATATTCTCATTGAGTTCCATTGCTTATGTGTCAGTTCAGAAAATTCAGAATGAGTTGAAAGAAATTCGAAAGGTGTTCTATTGTGAGCTCTGCAACAAGCAGTATAAATTGGCAATGAAGTTTTAAGTTCATCTTAGTTCATACGATCACAACCACATAAAGGTTCGTGTTTCCTCCCCCAATGCAATTGTTACATTTTAATTAACTATTAGTTTTATACTGGTATCTAAAGTAGCCTCTTTTAATACTCAAATCTAACCAGAAAAAGTTGGGTACAAATCATCCTACATTCTAAAATATGTGTGTAGGCTCATTCTATGAACCAAAATCTTTATTGTTTCATTAATTATACTTTGAGAATTTCAAATGTCAGGAACATTCTTTTAGTTAGAGCTTTGTTGTTAAACATTTATATATTTTATTTTTTTTATAACGTGGGAATCCGCAGCCGCTACTCGAAAGTGCGCATTGGGTAAACCCCAGGTCAAACCTAATACCCTTCAAACCAGGGCTGATGCTCATCAGTAGCAACAATAACTCCAGGTGTAGAGTCAAGAGGAAGCTGAAAGGGTTCATGCTTCTACTCCTACTCCAACCCATGCTTCAACTCCAGCAACAAGTAGTGTTACAATAGTTGTAGACCAAGATTATCAAAAAGCTATGCAGTTGAGATTTTTTGCAAAAGGCAGTACTGTGAAGGCAATCGAATGTTCTTTTGCTTCAATTATATATATTGTACGTACTACTATACTCTTAATGAATGTAGACACAGTGGAGAATCGATTTAAAGAACCTAGAAACAGCAGCTAGTAAACATGAAAATCCATTATATGAATGTAAAAGCTTATAAGGATATAGTGAAAAACATTACCAATTTGATCATATTAGTGCGGCTGTGACGGCGATTATGAAGAAGAAGAAGGAAGAAGAAAATAAGAATGAATAAAGAAAAGAATTAGGGAAGAAGAAGAAAAAATGAAAGAAGAACAACCTGTTGTGGGCGGCGGCTTATTGCGGATGGCGGCTAGAATATGATTATGCATTGGATAATGAATTAGAGTAAAAATATATATTTAATAAAATAATATTGTTGATGCAATTTTTCAACAATAAAATATAAAATCCAAAAATAGGAAATATCTTCGAATTTGATAGATGAGTGCCTGAGATTATGAATCTCTAAACACTGTAGAATACATAAAATAAAATAGGAAAAATAAAATAAAATACTGGAAAATAAAGTGGTGATCCCCAAAAGCAATTCTCTTGAATTTGATGTCGATTGAATATGCTTTTTCAGAACAGGTCTGAATCCTTAAATAACCCCTTGAAGAAACGGTTTGAACCGTTGTCTGGTCGGTTGCAGCAACCGCTATTCAACAGCCCAGAAAATCCTCCTCTGTCAACACGTGTGCTAACTGACTTACCAACCGCTCACGCCAGTTACAGCACTCAACTGCTCAGCCGTCCGCCTCTGAACATTTTTCTGCCTCAAATGGGTGGCTGGCCCGACCGGTTACTCAGCCACCCAAAATAACCCCTGACTCCTTAGACGAACCGCAGGCCAACCAACCAGTGCAGATACTAACTGGTCGCTAGACCGAAGATTCATTGGTCGCTCCATAAAGCGACCACCATCCAGTCTCTTTAATCGGCTGAACAACCATCCGTTCGGATGATTCCTTGGCCGCCCCATCAAGCGACCACCATCTGGTCTCTTGTCCGACCACGCATCGTCCGTCTCATTCTTCCTCGCCCGACCTCACTTGGTCCGAACTCCTCATCAACCGACCTCCGTGTCGTCCGACGCAACCGACTGCGGACCGCCCGACCTGTTCAAAGGACTTTGGACCATCCGACCTATTTAACCGACTGAGAACCAACCGACCGCAGGCCAACCAAATGTGGTCCCGACCACAGAGCAACCGACTGTGGTCCCGACCATAAAACAACCGACCACAGACCAACCAAATATGGTCCCGACCACAGAGCAACCGACTGTGGTCCCGACCATGACTATAGTCCCGACCATGGACCAACCGACATTGGTCCCGACCACAGAACAACCGACTGTAGTCCCGACCATGGACCAACCGACCTCGGTCCTGACTGCAGACCAATCAACTGTGGTCCCGACCACAGAGCAACCGACTGTGGTCCCGACCACAGAGCAACTGACCGGCTCTATTTGCCTTATCTCCTTACAGACTTGACAGACCTCCGCGTCTGTCCATACTTCTTCCTTGCCTAACCTTCGTCTTGACAGACCTCCTCGTCCGCCGATACTTCTGCTTTGCCCGACCTTATCACGCCCAAACCCTGTGCCCCACTTTGTCCTGTCCGACCTCCGTATCGGCTGATCATCCTTCCTTGTCCGACTTTTTTTTTCTCGACTTCTGGGCCGTTTGGCTTATATCCAGACCCATCCAGAACCCTACTGCCATTATGTATTATTATTATTTTTTGTGCTCAACAAATATATTTATAAATTAAATCATTATATATTATCAATTATTATAAAAATAAAAAGAACGAAGAAGAATGAAGAAGATGATGAGAGTTTTGTGGGTGGAGACAGAGAAAAAAGAGAAGCAGTATAGAAAAAAAAAAGTAAATATGATACAAAGGGAAATAAATTAAAAAATATAAATAGGGGTATAACAATCAATTCTGGTAAAATATAATATCTATTAGTGAGGTTTAGAGGGGATGGGCGAATGTGCAACCATTTAAAAACTACGAGTAGGTTTTTTTGGAATTTTAGAACTATAGGGGATTTTCAACAAATTCAAAAAACCACGGGAGGGTTTTATGCTATTTTGCCTTTCTTTTCAAACAGTCACATCAATAATCAACATGTCTAAGTAATTAATATACATGTCTAAGATCTTGATGGGGTCGGTGAAATTTTTACCATTGAAAGTCCTGCTGTTGATGATGGAAAGCTTGCCTTTGAAATTCTTAATGTTGCAGTTGTTGTTGAAAAAAGTTGTTTTGCTTTGAATTCAGGTAATACAAATTCAAGATGTGCAATAATGTGCATATGTCCTGTTTCAAACAAGGACGAAGACAAAACAAAAGAAAAGAAATTAATAAGCAAAAACATATTGATATAATTTAAAAAGAGTAATTATATACAACGTACTTTGCAAATCATTAAACAAACTTATAAATGTATCTTCCATTAAGATTAGTTGATCTGAAAATAAAATAAAATAATATATAAATTCAATTATACAATTTTCCTTACTTAAAAGATAATTATAAAAACAAAAAGAAAATACCCTTTTTTAGTGCAGGGTAATGTGATTTAAGATTGATTAATTTCAAGTTGAAGCTGAAAAAATATCTCTCAACTGTGCAGCGAAGACTTCAAATGCATAACAACAAGAGTTTCGGGTGTAGTAGGATGGTTTGGATGTATATCTTCTAACTGAGAATTATTTCGAGACAAAAGACTCATCAAATCAGGGTCCGATGGACGAGTAGAGAATCCCAACTTTAGGATTACACGTAGTCATACAGTAATCAAATAACCTTTAGTGATCCTACCTGCCATCTTGAAAGTAAAATCGTTTGAAGTAGGGTCGGACGAGCTCATATAAAAGATAAGGATGTCATTTATGTACACACAAAAGGGGCCCTTGCGGAAGAGGGGAGCAATGTCCTGTATCCCCAGGGACCCGACCGATTGGATGAGCCTGTGGATGAAGCCCTGAACCATTTGAAAGTTTGTTTCTTGCTCTTTTCTCTAGATGGTAACGTGATACCAAAAAACTATTTTTCACCCTTCTCCGCATAAACCCCATTCCAAGCCGTTGGGTATGAAACTCCCATTGCCATCAAATAATCGGATACATACTTACCTCATTCATTGATAATGAGGATGAAAATTATACTATTATCCCAATCCAAATCTCAAAACTCAAAACTCACGATAACCAAACTAAGACAAAAAAATAAAATATATGTTAAGAGTCAATATATATTTCCCTCTACCATCC